CCCATGCTCATGGATCAGAAGAATTAATACCATTAAAATGATATTAACTCAAAGCGATTTGCAGATTCAATGTAATCTCTATCAAAATACCAATGTCATTTTTCACAGTAATAGAAAAAACAATCCTAAAATTCATATGAAACCAAAATAGAGCCTGAATAGCCAAAGCAATTCTGAGCAAAAAGAACAAAACTGAAGGCATTATATTATCTGATTTCAGTATACATTACAAGGATATAGTAACCAAGACAACATGATATGGATATAACAACACATAGACCAATGTAATGAAATAGAGAATCTAGAAATAAATCCACATATTTAGAGACAGCTAATTTTCTACAAATGTGTGAAAAACATGCAGTGGGGAAGGGACACCTTCTTCAGTAAATGGTGCTGGGAAAATCAGATATCCATATGTAGAAGAATGGAACTGGACCTGTATCTTTAATCGTATACAAAAACAAACTCAAGATGGATTAAAGACTTAAACATAAAATTTTATAGCTAAGACCTCAAAAGCTCAAATAACAAAACCAAAAATAGACAAATGGGACTATATCAAACTAAAAGGCTCTGCATAGCAAAGGAAACAATCAACAGAGTGAAGACTCCACCTCCTAAATGGGAGAAAAATATTTGGGAACTATTCATCCAACAAGAGACTAACATTCAGAATATACAGGGAATGCAGACAACTGAACAGTAAAAAAAAAAAAAAAAAATCAATGAGATCACTTGGACACAGGAAGGGGAACATCACACACCGGGGCCTATTGTGGGGAGGGGGCAGGGAGGAAGGATAGCATTAGGAGATATACCTAATGTAAATGACGAGTTAATGGGTACAGCACACCAACATGGCACATGTATACATATGTAACAAACCTGCACATTTTGCACATGTACCCTAGAACTTAAAGTATATAAAATAAAAAAAGCGGGGTGGGCAAAGGACAGGAATTGAGATTTCTCAAAGGAGAAGACATACAATGGCCAACAGGTATATGAAAAAATGCTCAACATCGCTAATCATCTTACCACAGTTAGAATGACTATTACTGAAAAAGACCAAAAAAAAAAAATACCATATGATCCACCAATCCCACTACTGGGTATTTATCCAAAGGAAAAGAAATCAGTATATGAAAAATATACCTGCACTTATGTGTTTATTGGAGCACTATTCACAATAGCAACAACATAGAGTCAGCCTCAGTATTCATAAATGGACAAATGTATAAAGAAGATGTGGTATATATACACACTGGAATACTATTTGGCTACAGAAAGGAATGAAATGATGTCATTTGCTGCAATGGATGGAACTGGAGATCATTATGTTAAATAAGCCAGACACCAAAATACAAATATTGCATGTTCTCACTCATTAGTGGGAGCTAAAGGAGTTGCTCTTTTGAAGATAGAGAGAAAAATGGATACCAGAGGCAGGGAAGGGTAAGTGGGGTGAAGACCGTTTGGTTAATGGGTACAAAGATACAGTTAGATAGAAGGAATAAATTCTAATGTTTATAGGGTGATTATGGTTAACAATAATGTATATTTCAAAACAGCTAGAAAAGAGGACTCAAAATGTTCCCAAGACACAGAAATAATAAATACTTGAAGGGATAGATATCCTGAATACCCTGACTTGATCATTACTCATTCTATGCATGCAGCAATACATTACATGTAGCCCATATTATGTATCAACAAAAAAAGTCCTGAAAAACTGAGGTTCAATCAGGTGGTTAAACTCTCCCCCTATCCAACATCTAACCACCACACCAATAGAGCTCCAAAAAGAAAAATAGTGGATTACAGTTAAAACAGATACAAGACACAGACACAGACCCTCTCTGAGGAGGACTATTTAGCAAAGCCCAAGTCAAAAGGGAAGGCCAAAACTATAGCAGAAGAATCTGGAGCTAAGAACCAAAAGAAACTTCTAGAAATAGTCAACATTGTAACAGAAATGAATAATGCCTTTGATAGGCTCATCATTAGAACAAAGATGGCCAAGGAGAGTAGTATCAGTGAACTTGAAGATGCGTCAATAGAAACCTATCAGACTGAAAAAAGGGGGAGGCAAACATCCAAGAACTGTGGGACAATTTCAAAATGTGTAACTTATCATCATGGGAGTATCAAAAACAAAAGAAAGGGAAAACAGAGAAGAAAGAAGTAATAACGGCTGACAACTTTTCAAAATTAATGACAGACACCAAACCACAGACCCAGGAAGCTCAGAGAACATCAAAAGTCAAAAATAAATACCCTTCTCCCCCAAAAAGTCTACACCTCCGCATTTCATCTTAAATCTGTATGTAGAAAGGCAAAGATAAAGATAAATTTTTGAAAGAAGCCAGAGGAAAAAGCATATTACCTATAGAAGAAAAGAATAAAATTATGGCAGACTTCTTGTGAGAAACTAGGTAAGCCAGAAGAAAGTGGAGTGAAATATTTAAAGTGTTGAAAGAAAAAAAGCCAGCCAACCTGCCCTGTAAGAAATGGGAAGTTCTTCAGGCAAAATGAAAATTATGTCAGTTAGAAGATTGAACTACATAAGAAGAGCATCAGAGAATAAATAAGTGAAGGTGAACAAAATTTTTAATTGTTCTTAATTGATCTGTAGGGTAATTGCTTGTTCAAAGTAATAAATGTCATAGTGTATTGAATGATTATACCACATGGATGAGTGAAATGAATGACAGGAATGTTCTAAGGGCAGAAATGAGAAATTGGGAATGTGTTGTTATAAAATGTCTACACTACACTTGAAGGCAGGCTTGTATTTGGAAAAAAGTTTATACTGTAAACTCTAGGGCAACCATTTAAACATTCGTAAAGAGAATAACTGGCATGCTAAGAGATAAAATAGAATCATAAATTGTTCAAAACTAAAGGAAGACAGAAAAAGGAAGGGATGAAGAGAGGACAAATGCAACAAACAGAAAAGAGTTACAAACATGGTAGATATTCATTCAGTTATATCAACTATCACCTTAAATGTGAAAGGTCATTTCATTTCCTTCTGACTTGCACTGTAAACTAGGAAGTGGATAAGTATTTTAAGGTGCTGATAAGTAGAATACCAAGTCAACAGTTTTGACTTGTTCAAATTGTTTCTTGATCCAAGGGAGAAAAAAAAATAAAGGATGTCAATATCTAGTGATCCAAACAGCATATTGTTTCCTAATAAATTCAGAAATCTAGTTGACTTTTTGTATATTGGTGGTCAAATTAAGGTTGGCATGGATTTCCATTGTATGAGGTATTTATTATGAGATTTATCAAATTGATCAAAATTTGGCATGTGCTTGGGATACAAATAAAACATATAGCAATTAAGAAATCAGTCAAATTTTCCTCTCACACCTTATGGTGTAAATTTCTTGCTCCTCAGTCCACAGTAAGAGTATGCTTTACCACCATAGGCATAGGTTTCTCTCACTGCAGACTCTTACTGAAGAGTTTATGAAAGCTCACAGTATTGGTCGGGGAGGGTGGATACTTGGGTTCCAATAGGATTTTTACCAGTTACCAGTTGCATGCCCTTGGGCAGGTTATTTAATATATCTGAGTCACTTTGGTCTATCTGTAAAATGGGAACGATAATTACACTTTGTGGTTGTGTGAGGGTTAACTAATACATATAAAATGTCTAACTTGTTAAGTGAGCCAAAAAAAAAAAAAGACATTGAGAAAGCACATGTCCTTATACAGGCAATCCTTACCAAGTATACTACGATTCTCTAGAATATAATGAGCTTTCTCCTTGTCCTTCCTGGGATTTGCACACTAGAGACCCAGAAGATATGTCAATTCATGAATCAGTGTAGTCAGCCATGAAGAACAATCAGCAGTGGATTTTGTGATACATATGTGGCATGTAAACTCATAATAAATTTTTATATAATTATTTCTAGTTTTTTAGAAAAAAAGATCCTATTTTTAGTAAGTGCCAATATATCATTTCCACTTACTCAATTTACTTTCCCTTCCATATGGCAGCAGTCAATAGTCAAAGTTAGTGAAAGGCTGTAACAGTTAAATAAAGACCTATCCAAGGGTTTGGCTCTATTTGCCTAAAGAGGCCACCACATTTCCCCTGTCTGATACACAAGTTTAAAGCCCCACACAGGAAGTTTTACTGGTTTTAATTTCTCTTTTTTTTTTTCCCCAGAGATGGAGTTTCACTCTTCTGCTGGGGCTGGAGTACAGTGGCATGGTCATGGCTCACTGAAGCCTCTGCCTCCCCGGCTCAAGCGATCCTCCCACGTGTCTCCTAAGAGGCTGGGACCACAGGTGTGCATCACCATGCTGGGTGGGTTAATTTTTGTATTTTTTGTAGAAACAGGGTTTCATATTGATCAGGCTGGTCTTAATCTCCTGGGTTCAAGTGATCAGCCCACCTCGGCTTCCCAAAGTGCCGGAATTACAGGCGTGAGCCACCACACCTGGCCTCTGGTTTTATATTTCTAGCCTCCTTGACACATCCTTTATCAAAGAGACATCTCCACTGTTGACATTTTCCTTTAGTCACCACATCAGAAATAATAATAACCATTTTTTCTTTGTGAATAGTTCTTTTCCATTACCACTGGTTATCATAGTACTATTACTCTATTTCTCACTTTGGATTTACGTTTCCTTTCCATCTACACTGGAGAAGCTATATTACTGCCAGGTATAGGAAGAAAAAAAACAACTTGGCTGAAAATTAGAGAATGCAAAATGTTAGTAAACATTGTTGTAAAGTTTGAATTTAAATTATAAGTGGCTCTTTTTACATATTAAAAAACTGCATAGAATTTACTGAAGATTAGAATATATTTTAAGGAATCCCAAGAAAAACAAATCCAGATAATTATTAAAAGTCCCATGTCAAGCAAAAACACTCCATGAAGAAATTCTGAAACTGATTTTCTATCTTGCTTTAATGACTTCATTTATGACTTCTATGGAGAATGTGAACACAGTAGAAATAACAGCCATTTATTTTAAGTATCAGTTTTTATTAAAAAGTGCATCTTGATTAATTTATGATCTAGGTAAGCTGTAAGATACCAGTATACTCTCTGGAATAATAACTTTACAAAGATTTAAAACAAACAAAATTTTAAAAGCCTTTTTATTTCCTTCACCATTATTGTTTTACAATACAAATATCACCTTGTGAATACACAAAAAAATCCTACGGAAGATAATTCTGCTGCACGTAAAATACAGAATGGATATATATACTTCTTCATTCTTAAAAAACTATTTTGTTCTCCACATTGGCAAGTATAGAATAGAATACTTCCCCAAACATACGTATGTTAGGAGTAAAACTTAAGAGTTACATGCAGTTTCTGCACAAATATCTTTTAAAGAAATAGATCTCTTTTTTGTTGTTCACCAACAAAATTGTCATGAGAGTATGGATAACTAATTCATAGCTTTCAAGTTTTAGGTAAGTGATCATTTTCAAAACTCTCTTTAAGAAAAGATATTCATGGCTGTTTTCATTGAGTAGTTAAAATCGAACTACCAAATAGACGATAAAATAATTTAAGTGGTACATGTCATTGCTACCTGATCACAATATGTGAACAGGCTCTGACTCTAATTAACAACCTCATTATTTAAGTCATTGCAATTTTAAAACCATAAGCAGTCTTCTGATTCAATTTAGCTATAAATGCAAAATTTAGTAGTGTATACATATATTTATATTTTCATGGAATACTTTATTTTAAATAAAAACATTTAAGATTGCCTACTGACCATACAATCAAGACAAGAAAGGCACTAGAAACATAGACAAATTTCTCTCCCAAGATGCATTTTTAAATTTTAACTCTCTTCTCTCTGACATGTTAAAAATCTTTAAATTTGGTTTTCATAACATCATTTTGAAAAATAAAGTTAGGAAATACTTAGAAAATCACTTTATAACAGAATCTTTTTTTTTTTTGCACTTTTTGAAACACTGTCTTTGCTGATTTTACAAAACCCAAAGTTACCAAACCTTTCTGTGTCTATCATTTTTATTTGAATATCGGTGCAACAGGTAGAAAGATTTCAGAATCAAACCCCATTCAGGTGCTTAGAAACCTTCATAGAGACATTTGCTAGAAAATGGCTTACAGCCCAATCTTTGGGGCAAGAGATATGAAAAGTATGTTTTCCCAAGAAAATAATACGCTTTATTTCCAGATGTGACTGGAAAGACCAGAACTTATGATATAAAAGCTTACATTTATGCTGTTGCATCATATACAAAGGAACATGGTGGTTGCGGGTTATGTAAATCCCAAACTTATGAACAGGAAATGTGTACAGTGCATGATAGGTTAAATTTTTCTTTATTGTTGTCCAACGCAGGTCCTTTGGAGAGAAAAAAAGATCACAGTGCTGACCAGGTAACTCAATAGGTTAAGTCAAGGTAACCATTGAAAGATAATAGGAATAGGGAGGTGTTTATTTTATGGCATCTTCTCTCATGGAGTTCTTAGCACTTCGGACAATTTGTCTTTTCCCCACATTGTACAGCTGTTATGTGTCATTCACCAGCCGGCTGTATTTAACTTGCCTACTGAGGTGGACTACTGGCCAGGGGAAAGGCCAATGGTAAGATCGAGGTACAATTCCTTGGACATTCTTTTCAAAGTACTGAAATGGCCTGTACCACCACACCCTGGCCAGGAGGTTCATCTGGGAAGCTTCCTTTAGCACCTAGGATAACAAAGAAACATAAACACATTTCTTACAATCTTTCACTTTAAGTTCAAATACTTGCCATGCTAAAATTCCCAAAGGATCCCATATCTACCCTACGTGTCCACCCACATATCCCAGCTTCTCTCTGTCACCACCATTCTACACTCCACACTCATCTACAAACTGAGCCACATCTCAGTAGAAAAACAACGCCAATTCTGGGAAGGCAAGGAGAACTTATGGCTCACTCATCTCTTGCCTATAAATAAATACCTCAGTTAGCTTTTTAGGTATTCCTCTTCTATGCTAAAAATATTAACACTTAATTAAATGTTAAGTATTAAGCTTGTGATGTGCCCAGGATAGGGAGAAGAGGGTAGGAAAGTGAATCAAGCAAGGAGGGACACAAGCTTAGAAAATATTTTTCATTTTTCATGGATAATGAAAGTGTGCTACTTATTCTAGAAGGAATTCCTTACACCATTAATGAACTTTTTATTCTTAATTCTGAAGAGAATCAGTGTCACAAAACACAATACAATCTTAGTTGATTACCTCTTAAGAAAGAGAAACTTAAGACATCCGTGGGTTCTTTGAACCCTGCCCAAGCCAGCAACACCAAGCCAGAAGCAATAGAAGCTAAAATCAAAAGCGGAGAAACTCACTTGCTGATTGGCCATAGTGTGATACCACCAGAAGAGTCTCGTGGTGATGTAATATGCCACCACCACGTCCACAGTGTAGTGGTCATGCGCTAAGAGAATACAGAAGATTCCAACTACGCTGAGAAGCCAGCAAATCCAGTGATACCACCAGAGTCGTCGAGGGGAATCTGAAAGGGGGAGAGATTTGCAACAGTCCCATTATTCAAATGACATTAAGGGCACTCAACTATGCCTCTACTAATGCTTCTGAATCCAATTACCTTGAGTCTTCCCTTCTGAAAACAGACCTAGTGAATCTAAGGGCTTTCATTTATCTGTAACCAAGGTTAGAACAGAAACAGCTTTTTATGATGTGATTATACTAGTGATAGTAATTCATATTTGGTTATTGATTCATACAATCATAAATAGTGTTTAAAAGATGAGTCTAATCAGATAAGGACAGGTTAATGCACCATGCTTCATTTTTAAAAACTGTCCATTGACATTTAAATTTACCTCTAGTTAATTTGGGGTTGATGTTCTATATAAAAATCAATACCTTTTGGTCCATAGAGCCTAATACAAGGACTAAGCAGTCATAATTGATTTAACTGTACTGCTTTCCAAGTTTTGCAACCATACACTAATCTGAAAGTCTTTGAGATTTTCATTTCTCAAATACAAACAGAAAAGCATCCAGATGCCTGGGAATTCTACTTCAAGTGCCTTCTCAAAGGCTGAATTGTGTCAGATAAATACTTGTCTGTACCTCCATTTGGGAAATTACCTGAGAAAAACATCAAAATTTCTATTAGTGCAGGCCTTTCTACCTTGGATTCTCAATTGTGGGATTCAGAGGCTCTGCAATGTTAGGCAAAATGTTGTTTGAATATGATCTACACTCTCCACACCAGCATGAGCAGTTCAGGCTTTTATTGGATTCTCAAGGGGTCCAAGAACCAGTCATTCATTCAACCAATATTCACTGAGCCTCTTACATACCAGGGACAGGCAATGCTCTAGGTACCTGGATCAATGAATAAAAAAGGCAAGAAGCCTGCCTTTGTGGGAAGATCCCTTCCTAGTGGGGAAGAGAGATAAGAGACAATACTTATAATAAATAATTTACATAATAATTTATGTTAGGTGTTAAAGGCTGTGGAAAAATAATAAAGTTGAGCTGGATAAGGGGGATCAGAAGTATAGGGAGTGAAGGGCAGTTTGCAAATATTAAATGGAGCAGTCAGGGTAGGAATATTCTAATTATATTAGTATTCGATACCTTGAGAATACAAAAACAAGAAACAGCTACCATTCAATCTCTGTGTGACTCTGTAAGTATCCATATATGCCATCTAATTTTAATTTTCACAAACTTTTTCCCACCCCATGAAGCAGATGTGAATATTGCATTCTAAACATGAGGAAACTAAGACTTAGAGAGGTTAAAGTTTCTTCCCGGGGTCATAGAGCTAGTAAGTGATAGTACCAAGGCCTCTGCCTCTCACTATGACACGCTGCCTTATTGTCAAGATGGATAAGGCTTGACCCCATTAAAGAATTTCAGGTATCAGGCAGCAGGAGCCAGGAATCCCTCCCCCAGGGCTGCTGACATCTGGCCTATGTGATTCCCACTGTCCACATCCAGTTACATCCCAGTCCAAGGGCTGGATTATGCCCTGACAATTCTGAATAGATCTTGCTAGAATTCACTATATCTGCTCACATACTAAGTATAAGCATTGGAACATCTATTCTCCCTTTTCTACCTCAGTGCCCTGAAGTGCATCTCTCTCCTCTTCCTATATTTCCTTATCTTAGTTTTTCAAGAACAAAACTAGGTTTCGGCCTAGTCCGCTACCTGTTTTCTCTACCCCATAATCCATCCTGTTATCTGCTGATTCTATTAGTATCTTGAAGTGTCTGCCACTTCTCTCCATCCCTGATGCCATCAGGCTAGTTTTCTTTGTTACTGCAGCAATCTCCTAACTTTTCTCCTGGTCTCCGGTTTTGCCCCCCATCCAGTCCATCCTGCAAGCTGCTGCAAGAGTGATTTTTCCCTCTTCAAAGACAAATGACACTGCCCCACTGGTTACAACCCCTCAATGGGCACCCGATCTCCATCAGCTGAGAGTTCAGACCCTCTTCTCATGGCTTAAGCACCCTCTGTGATCTGGTTCCCACTTACCTGTCCGTTCTCATTATTACCCCTACTCTGAATTCCAACCACTTAAACTCCCACAGAGTACCAAATGCTCCCAAGACACCTCCAGAAGGCAAAGCATCTCCCTCCTCTGTGATACCACAGCAGCCTGGTTCTACCCATTGCTCTTCATGGAAACCCTCTGCATAATGCTTATCAGACTGTTTCTAACAATGTGATATTGAGGATAATAAAATTTTCTGTAAGTAGAGAAATGAATAAAAATGTGTAGTTCATTTCTAGCACTGTACTATTAATAGCAATTAAAGTGAATGGACCAAAATCTCCTATCTCAAAAACATAATCTGAGGGTAAATAGTGGCAGAAGAATATAAATGGCATCATGCCATTTATGTATATACATTTTAAAAACCACAAAACAATAATAATACACAAGTACAAAAAAATGGATGGAAATGATATAGGAAAGGAATGAAAAGGCTTTAATCATATATTAACATTTCATTTCCTTTCTAAAAGGGAATTAAATATGACAAAATGCTCATATATATTAAATCTGAGCCATGTATGCGGTATCTATAATATTATTTTGTGATTTCACAGTAAAATATTTTAAGTACATTTCTTAAGGACAATGTACCATTTAGTATCTGCCTCAGCCCTGAGCCCATAGCCTTGTTGAGGACAGGGATGAGTCTGACCCATCACTGTACCCTCAGGCATGTAGCATAGTGCCAAGTGCTGAAAAAATAGTTGCTGCATCAACACATAATCTACACCCAGTCAGGCTTGATCCTGGATTTCTGTGTCCCTTTGAGATTTCCATCTGGCTCCTTACAGCAGCTGTATAACTGGCTCATGACACACCCTGCAGGCTGTGCTTGGAACTCCCTCCACCCCAGTACTACAGATGACACTCCAGGACACCTCCTCCTCAGGAAGACCAGTTCTGTCCTTCCACATATTTCCCTGGGTGCCAGTTGCACGGTGATGAGATGAAGCTGTGACCCTCCTAAAGCCTCCAGTCTTGCTTCAGCAGATTTTCCAGAAAACGAGCTTTACCAGAGGACCAGAGTTCATGAGAAATGGCAGGTGAGGAAATTACAATGGAAGTCTTTTAGACTTACACTCTTTGATAAATAAGTAGGTGAGTGTTAGCATGACCGTGTGGCCGCTGTACAGATAGTCCCCACACATGTTGTGAGAGCCAGTGATAGACAAGCCACCTCCAGCAATGAGCTTCATTATTCTCCGCAGTTGGGCTTCCCAGTCTCCAAAAAGCTGACAGAAAAGAAGAAAAAGAAGATTCATTACAAGCCCACATGAAAATATGCTAAGATGACTATTCATATCCAGAATTAAGCTTATATTAAGACACATACAATCCCCACCATGAAGTTTGCCCACTCAGTATTTACCATTCCAAGAGTAGCCCTTGGAGGGAAAAAATGGTCCTACAGATGAATCATGTGGCTTCAGGACTTTTCAAAGTTAGCACTTTTTAAAGCACATGTCAGTAGATGTTTACCCAATTTTTCAAAAATTACAATGATAGGGAAACACTACTTCTATCTGACTGACTGAATAATTGCTTTAGTGTAACTATCATTTAGGGAAAAGAAAATTTAAATCTATAGTCTAGGAAAAATTTAAAGATGTATTATTACCATGGTTGGCCTAGAAGACAACTGTCCTGCTAACTTGGCTAAAGGTTGGGGTAGTCAAATATATGAATATTTTTGGGATGTGGATGTTCAGGGATCATGTTGAAACAAGGGATGTGCCTTTAATCTTCTCAAATTACTTGGGGAATATTGGATAATTTTCCAGATTATAAATTAATTTACCTATCTATGATACAAGTCTGTGCTCAGCACCAGATCAATAAATAGCTTCAACAACTCCTTCAATGCAACCTTTATTTGCTCTGTCAAGTAAAATGTGTGACTGTCTATATTTTCTGCTTGTCAGTACTCTTTGAAATTCTGGTTGCCCAATTTAGTTACCATGATCCCTTTTCAATATTTAACTGATAAGAATCCAGCTTTGGGAAACACGTTTTATTATAATTTCCTTTAAAAAAATTATCAAGACTTCTGATTAACGATGGAAGGATGATATGTCAGTGAAGTGTGGGAAATTTTAAAAAAAAGGTAGATTGAGCACACCACACAGAGGATATAAATTTCCAAATCCAAAGTGATCACTCAATGCCCAACATAATGGAAGAAAACAGACCTACATATCAAGACTCAGCATCATAGGATTTCAGAATCTGGGGACTAAGAAGAGACTCCAAAGCCTCCAGAGATTAAAAACAAGCTTTATATGAAGGATCATTAGAATAAGACTTTTCAAAAGCCACACTGAAAGACAGAAAACTTTGAGAAAATGCCTTTAGATTCTGCGGGGAAACGATTTCCCACTTAGAATTCTGTACCCAGCCATATTACCACTAAGCATAAACTAAAGGATAAACTAAGGATAAATTAAAGCCTTTTTCATATATACATGATTTTAAAATATTTACCACTTATATACTCTTTTCCAGGAATCACAGAGGGTACAGTCTCGATAGTAAGGGAGTAAACATGGAGAAAAGAAGAAACAGGACTCACTAGGATGCCAATAAAGGAGAGATGAAGGACTGCGCAGTAGCTCACAAGTTTGGGCTGGAAAGCAAGCTCTGGAGAGATGTCACCACGGAGATGAACTCAACAGAATACCCAATGCCTCTGGCTATATTGAGAGGAGTTTCATAATTTGGGGGTAAGTGCAAAGAAAACTACTAAAGCTAAAAACCAAGGCAATTACTAACTCTACAGGAAACAAAATGTTGTGCAGAGAAGGAAAGGAATTCTAGGAAACTACATGTCTTGGCCGTGAATAGCATTTACAGAACTGTAATAATGTAAGCACTGCATATTGAGTTAAACAAAGGACAAAAAACTGCACAGCAAAGACAGGATAGGAAGCCTGAACATGTGTAGTGGAGATGGGGTCAGAGAGTAGGGATCATGAAGGAGGAGTCACAGAAGGACACTAAAGCTTTGCCTTCTACAGTGGAAGGCAGTAACAGAGAATGCCTATATTCAAAAATTACAGAGTAGCAATATCTCATGTCATGTGGAGACACAAAAGTAAACACATTTTAAAAATCTAAAAAAAAGAGTGAACGACATAGAGTTAAATAACACAAAGTTCAGCTAGAAGAGTTGAAGCAGAATAGGAAAAGGCACTGGTGGGGTCAGGACAAGGAGACTATTGTTTTTTCACATCAAGTTGTGTAGAACTATTTTATTTTTTAAATTGCATGCCTGTATAAACATGATACTTTTTTTTTAAAGTTTCAAATTAAAAGTTTGGTCTAGTTCTGTTATAACAATGGATAAAATGTAGAAGAAAATTATGGCAAAAAAGCTTGGGTATTTCTTCATTTTACATTATTTCATAATGCCCTTCTAACTCTGTGTTTTAAAAATGATAAATCATATCCTCGAGACAGCATCACCCATAATTTGTCCTCTCATTTGAGCATGAAAATCTTTGTGGAGAAACCATGTGTTTGGGCAGAAGGGAGAAATTATCAAGTAAGCCTGGCACTGACGAATAAAGCAAAAATTTAATGCTGTATTTCTCACAGGTGCCCTTAAAGCCCCTACGCTTCCTTTTAAAAATACCTTCCTATGTTTATCAAATTTCTGCAAAGGGAAAACCTCTTTAAGTTTAGTGGGAAATAGAAAAAGAGAAAGAAAATGTTAAATTATGTTTAAAAAAAGCAAACAAAATACAAGACAAATTACAAAACAGTTGCAGCAGAAACAAGTTAATATCTGTATTGTTTACACAGCACAGAGAAGTCAAGTAAAGTAAGACCAACTTAGGAAACAAAATTTATCAAAGGACCAGGGATGTGACCAGATAGAGGCATAAACTCTGTCAAACAAATATAAATAAAAATGAACGTAAGAGGAGCTCATTTTCACATGTTGAATTAGCAAAGCTTAAAAGGAAAAAGAGTGAGCTAACGGTGAGGCAAGCACAAGCAGAGCGAGACTTGTTTAAATGGAGGGGATGGGGGAAGCAGTGGCTGTCTCCGAAGTAGTGCAGGGGAAGAGCAGGCTGCGAAACAGATACCTGGGGGTAAAATCACAGCTCTTCGAACGATTTGCTGTGTGACCTCATACAGCTGAACCATTCTAAGCTTCGAATGAGGCTCAGATATAAAGAATATATTTATTATCATTGGCAAAATCTGAGAAAATAATCATCAATAGTTTACCAGCAATTTAAATAGTCATAACTTCTGACCCAGTTACATTGCTTCTAGGAGTCTACCCCAAAGAAGTAATACCAAATATGAAGAAAAGTTCTATGTGCAAAAATATCCCACCATCACACTAATTACAAAAGCAACAGGCTGGGAGTGATGGCTCATTTCTGTAATCTCAGCACTGTGGGAGAGTTGCTTGAAGCCAGGAGTTTGGGACCAGTCTGGGCAACATAGCGAGACCTCTACAAAAAATTAAAAAGTAAGCTGGGTGTGGTGGCATGTGCCTGTAGTCCCAGCTACTTGGGAGGCTAAGGCGGGAGGATCCTTTGAGCCTAGGAGTTCAAGGCTATAGTGAGCTATAATCATACCACTGCACTCCAGCCTGGGCAACAGAGTGAGACCCTGTCTCTAAAGAAAAAAAGCAACAAACTGGAAACAACCTAAATGGGAACTGTTAAATAACTGTTCAAAACCTGGTCTTTCCGGGGACAGTATTGGCAAGATGGGGTGCCTGCTGTAAATGCATTCTCAGGTCCCAAGGTAGACCAGTGAACCAGAATCTAAGGCAATTTAAATGCACATTAAGATTTGAGAAGCCCTGAACCAGGCTACAGCTGCTTACCAAATTATTTAAAAATAAGTTTACAGTGACTGTATAGTAAGTTTAGATTATAAGCATATTCCTCTATTAAGAGAAAAAACAGGAAACACAATGTTTGGTATAACTATAACTGTTTTACAAACACTATGCGCAGAAAAAGTCTAGAATGTAACATATTAAATGTTAACAGGGTTAGCATAGAAATTGGTAGGATTTCTTCCAGTCTGTCCTGGTGCGGCTTCCCTTCCTCTCCTTTGGCCAGAAAGAGAGGGATTCCCTTGGAGCTCTGTCTGTACCCAGAGTGCAATTCTGGGATGCGCACTGACTTTGAATCCAGGCAGGAAATGTGAATGGAAAAAAGAAAAGAACAAAACAAAACAGGAAACTCTGGACTGGGTCTTTCATACCTTGCATTTTGGTTTCCTTCCTCCATCTGCCCGCTATCATTTGCTTTTGATTCCTCAAATAGCTGATCCATATATCCTGCCCAGTGTTTTTTGGCTGCATTCAGTGTGAAAGAAAGATGGAGTGTGCTTACTCTATTATAACTGGAATTGCAACCTTGCCTATCAGTAGCTTTGGAATGTCTATTTTTGAAAGCAGAGATAATTTAAGGGAGACATAAAAACTTTCAGTGGATACTACAAAGCTGTGACAAGAAAGTCTCATATCTCTACCACTTTGTTTATCAAACTTCTGCAGGTTTCCCAGGGTCACAGAAAACCAATAACCGGTAAAAACAGGCAATATTCTTCAAATTCTAATGAACTATCAAGAAATTAGGTGAACTGGCCAAATCACTCACACAATACCAAAGCATAGAAAGAAAGAGCAGAAGGAAGAGGGAAAGGCTTCTGAATGAGACACACTGTCAAGTACATTTAGAACCAGCGAGCCTTTGGTTATGAAAGACACAGGTTTCCCCAGTGTTTTCTCACTGCTAACACGATGTACTGATGACAGTCTGTTTGCCATCGTTCAGTCTGCAGATGGCCTAGAGCACTGGCTTTTCTTAACTACATTTGCAGAGCAGGGGTACTGACTGCACTTCAGCCCTGCTAGGAGGAAGGGAGTAACCTAGAACTAAAACCCATCAAATAATGCTGCACAAATCAATGGCTTTCATAGCTTTGACGGCTTTGGTATAGCTTTGTTGAAGAGCTGAAAGTGAGTACTGAGGACTAGAAAGCTATTTAAAATAAGCATTGACAATGGCTAATGCTGCAGCTGAGAGCAGCCCAGGAAAGTCAGCAAGGCAGACCCTATCTACTGTAGGCCTCCAGTGTTGGAGCCGAGACTGGAATCCAAGTCCCCTGACTATTTAAATGTGCTATTTATAAAACTATATGCTGCCTTGTGCAAGCCTGTCTCTCACAAGCTTGGATAAACCAGGAACTCAATACATAT